AAGCGGTTTTGGGGACAGAATTTGCCACTGAACTATTTTCCAACTGGGCCATCGGGCTGATTAGTGGCCTTGGTATAACGGTCTTTGGGCTGGCTACTGGGTGGATTGCCTGGTGTTTAAGGAAAAATGTACTTTTACTTTTTATTGCACCTTTGTTATCCATAAACACATTTTTTGCATGGTTTCTTCCTTTTAACCAACCGTTAACTACTAACAGTACTGCCCAAAACCTCGTCAATGCAAAACTGTGACTAAACCTGAACAAAAAGTCAAAGAAATTGAGATGAAAGATTTATCTCTTGGCCCAATAGTAGTGCGTGAAACTGCTGTTAATGAAATTCAGGATGGATTTGCAACCATTAGATCACGCATACCTAGCATGACATCATTTAAACCAAGTAAGACTTAGCTGGGAGGGAAAAAACCCTTTGTTGCATGATTGCATGTCTCCTTGGGTGTTTCTTTTTGCTTCTCTTCTCCAGCCTTGGTTGCTGCTGTTCCTGAGGAGGGCGGAGGAGCTATGGCGGATCCTGACACCACCAATGACTCCAACATTGTCTCCTTTACCACCGCAATTGTTGGCTGATGTGGTGTCTGACCTCATTTCATTGGACGCGGTTCCAGAGATTCTTCCACCTTCTATCCGTTTTCTTTCTGAGTTGGAACCTGTTGTTGAAGAAGCTCAAAATTCCGCAGTTAATGTCAGTTCTGATGACTTTGTTTCAGCCAATGAAGAATAGGCATGTAAACTGCTAGGAATCAATGAAATAAATGAGCTTTGTACAGAGAGAAATCTGATTTTGGAGTTCTGTCAACTTGTACTCAGGGAAAGGATTCCAGTAGACGGATTCATCCGGATTCTGGGGTATTTTGGTGCGGGTCAGGATGGGATAGATTCAGCAACCAATTCGACACACGCCGACATGTCATTTAAATCTATTGCTTCTAAACGCCTTCTTCTCTGTAAAACATACCGTATTCTCGCGAAACAAAAATATACAATTGCAATGAGAATGATTGTTAGTAAAATAATTAAAACAATGAGATAAATATAACCATTATCCCAAAAATCTAGTTGCAATTCACTAATGTCCTCAATAATTGACTTAATTCCTGGGACATTAGCCGGGATTTCATTAATTGCATTTATCTCAATGTTTTCTAACCTGGGGGTCATTTCATGAAATGGCCCATTAATCACAGTGTAACGACAATTAGGTCTAAATTGAATAATACCTTGTTGTCAGCTGGTTAAAACTGTGCTCTAACTTTCCTTTGCCCCTCGCCCCACTCATTAATGTGGATGGCCGCGCATGCGTGCGCAACTGAGTTTCCCTCGTTACCTGTCCTAATTGCATTTCTCCCCAGGCGGTCAACCGCCCCATAAATCTAACAAATACTGTGTTGAGGAATACGTGTGTGTCTCCTTTCTTTGTCTGGCTGGATGGTCATTGCTGAGCAATGACCCTGTACTGTCTGGTTTTGCTAGAGGTAATAAAAGGCCATGCAAGGCCCAGTAGAAAGCAGTGGTAAAGATACCCTCAGAGAGAGCTGTATACGCGTATATATTGGAGCTGAATAAATACTTGTAAGTCAAACTTGTGTGTGTTTATTGTCATAAAATTGTCTTGAATACTTAAAGTATTCGGTCCAGGATCCACCTGGAAAAAGAGGTTTGAACCTTGAATATAAAAATTGTCGGAAAATTTTGTGGTCATCCTCCTAAAGGTTCTCCTTACGAATTAATTTTTGTATTGTTGTCCTTTCTATTACAGGACTGAGTCAAGAATAAAAGAACCAAGTTCTTATTCTGGGTCAATATTCTTTATACAATATTCTCATCCACATACAGGCATTCAATACAACAATACAAATACACAAACACACAAGTCCAGCTTGTACTTTACTTCGAAATAGGTTTGAGCTTTAACAGAGCTTTGGCTATGGAGTTTACTGTATGAAGCTTGGATGAGATCTCTCTTTAGATTTCACCAAGCAGGGGTATTTAAACCTAGCCAGCCTAGATGGGGAAAACAAAGGAAGCAATCATTGCGACCCTAATAGCGGAAATCCCAATCCGTGAAATGAACAGAGTGGAAATTGCTCTGAGTGAAATATAATTGCGCTGGTCACACATCAGTGATAATGACCACGCGCAACAAGAACAAGACAACCGAATATCACTCAACTTTTGTAAAGAGTTGAGCCCACCAGGGTTTCAGCATAGATTGTATTTTAATTACCTAAGGAAGGTTATTGTAGCTTGTCATGAGAAGTTGTCAAGGCTTCTCATCAAGGAAATTGCAGCGATTATCTTTGCTTTAGCAATTTCACATTTCTAGGCTTTCTGAAAGGTTTCTTCTGAAACTACCAAAAAGGGTCTTCTATAAGTTACTGTATTTCTAAGATAACAAACTCACCCCGCAGAATAAAAAAAAAAGGTTCCATCCTTTTGTGAAAGTCAGCAGAAAAAGGAACAACAAGTGAACCGAGTGTGAGACTCAGTGCGACAGTGTTCTATTTTCCATTGCTGTTTCTTTCAGGAGCCATAAAGGCTTTTATGGAAATGGCAATTGTTATTGCTATCCATCAGGAGGAATCAGGCATGGATCCAACAGATGTTTGGATCAAGAAGAATGAAAATATCTTCTTCAGTTGGCATTGAGTGCCATTCGTTAACGGATGATCCGTTGGGTCTGAAATTTTGGCGGTCTTCTTTGGTGAGTGTTGTTAACTTATATTAATTTTTTTAAATTTTTCGGTCGTTAAATTAACAATTTTTGTCTCAAACAACGCAGCGTCGTAACGACTTCCTGTTGAACGAAATCGTTGGAAGTTGATGGGTCTCCTGGAGCTGGTGGCCTCAAACATTGTTTTGCAAATCGTTCGACTGGTTAGTGACTTTGTGCTGTTGGGGATCTTTAGTTTTTTCAAAAGAAAACTCCAACAAGTGAAAAGTGAGTTCAACCAAAAAAAAAATTTTGTTTTCAGAAATAACATTTTCTTCAAAAATTTTCACAGATGGCATTCCTGAGGCTGCTGGTGTTGCTGATTGTCGGTGTTGCGGTTGCTGGAGCGGACTGCGGTCCCAAAGAGGGCGTCTTCAAGTGTCCGGACGTTTGCAGAGAGGAGGTGCGGGACGCCGGCGGCTACGGACGTCAGGTGACGTTCGTCGGGTCGACGCTGTTCTTGGACTGCGTTCATCAGGAGGATCTCAAGGTGAGTTTTTTGACAATGTTTGCCAAGATGGGAATAACAGCTTTTTGTTTCTGCAGGAGGTGAAGCTGGTGTTGCCGACGGTCTGCGTCGGGCGTTGTGTTGACATGGATTGTGTTGTGACGCCGTGGAGGTGGTGCAAGGAGGTTGTGCCCCCCGAACCGGAGAGCTTGACAGCAGCAGTTCCGCCGGTGGTTGGTGAGTTGTTTCAGCTTTTCCACACAGACATAAGACATTTCAAAAACACAACTCACACACATAACATCATAACACATATCCAACACCTGACCAACACCAAAACAAAAAACATTTCCTTCACCAATTTTAATAAAAATTTTGTATGTACAGATGAGCCTCGCCCAGTGGCGCCGACGGCCAACCTGGCTGTCGTCCACGTGCTGGCAAGCAAAACGCCGTTCGTGGTTCACTCGCCGCCCTTGACGCAGCAAAGCATCGTAGTGGCCCAAGAGGTGCCACACGTCATTAGGGCACCGTCGTTGACGCAGGAGGTGATGGTCAACATCAAACATGGTGTTGCGCACGTTGAGGCGGACGTGGACCCGTGGACGGCCATGGTCCTGGTCTTTATGGGCCTTGGAGGTGCTGGGGCTACGTCTTTGGCTGTCTCCTAGGTTTGGCTGGTCAAGTTCATAAGGAACAAGGTTAGCCAATTTTTCTTTTGTTTTAATAAAAATGATTAACAATGCTTTTGCTTTCATGCTTGCTTTTGCCTTTTGTGCATGCTTTCAAACATAGAGAAAGAAAAGAATTTTGAAATTAGATAAAGCTAAAGTTAAAGAATGCATAGTGGGATCTATGCCCAACATATTTTTTAATTGGCTAGATTCTGATGATGAAGAATTTGAAGTTTTCTCTCAGAATTATGCTGATATCAGGGCTAGATCCCCAAGAGTTTCTACATTTAGACAAGGTAAACAAAATAGCATGTAAATACAAAGCAGCGCATGCAATAATTTGTGATGCTTTGCTTGGGTCTTTTTCTTTTTGTCTTTTTGTACAGTCATTGTGCATGCGGGAGTTGCTGCGGATGCTGACGCCGGAGGATCAGCAGGATCCAGAAGCCCAACCCGTGGTGGATCTGCTGGGGCTGGAAGAGACGGATAAACCTGTCGAGAACGTCGAAAAGGAGGAAGTGGTCCTTGAGGACACTAATCCGTTTAAAGAGATGTTGAATGCGTAATATGTAAAAATCGCGTCAGAGAGAGTGCCATTTTCGTACCCGCGTTTTATATGGGTCTCTTGGCAATAGAGAAATTGTAAAAAGAATTTCTGGCCTGCAATTCTCTTTTTTGTTTGTCTTTTCCAGCCAAATTCCTTTTCAGAAAGTGATCAGCGAATGGACAAGATTCCTGTGGAGGAGTCCATCTCTAATCTAGGGTAAATTGCAGGCTTAGGAGTAGGAGATTGAATAAACCTCACAGATGCTTGAGCATCATCAGTTCTCCTGGAAGGAGAGGATCTCCTAATCCGTAAAACATAGCGAATTTTAGCATAGCATAGGTAAACAAGACACAGTAGGATAATGAGCAACAATGAGACTGACACAATCATATAAATATAACCGTAGTCTCTAAAGTGAATTTGTAGCTCACTGATGTCTGAGGAAATTTGATGGATCCCTGGCATGACAGCAGGTATTTCTTGCACCGCATTAATCTCAATATTCTCAAGTTTAGGCAACACATCAGTAAAAGGACCATTCACAACTGTATAGCGACAATTAGGCTTAAATTGAAGAATTCCAGAGTAAGGTAATTCATAAGAATTTTCAGATGCAGATATGCTAGAATTCTTTGAACCAGAACAATACTGAGTGATCCTTCCCTTGTCATTATCCACAAATGCAAATTCATCACTATCCAGCTGCACCACAGTGTTGCTAGGAGTGCTAATTTGCTTCAAAGGACATTTAGCCTTTATTGTAGATTCATTTTCTCCAGTTTGAATTGATGACACACAAGGATCTAGTTCTTGGGAAGGAGGTCTGTTAAATCTACAGATCCTACAATCAGCTTGTCCCAGTTGATTTAAGCATATAGGTAAATCAAGAGAATTTAAACCATAAAGTTTGGAGCCTTGAGATAAAAGATATGAGTGTCTCAAAAGGGCTTGTTTCCACTTAGGAGCTCCCATATAAGTATCTTCAGCAATAGGTAAAGCATGAATTTTAAAGAGCTCATATTTGTCAATGGACCTGATGATTGGTACCACAGTTGTGATCCTGTAAAAACATGAAGTGTTGACTGCCTTAAGATCTTGAGCACAGGGGTCAAAGTGACCAATGGTCAGGGGGTTTGACCTGATTAAAGCAAACAAGTCTTGAAGGGTCAGAACTGTAGTTGGAGGATTGTTTTCAGTTCTGATAATTTGTTCCAATTGGGTCTTAACCTCAGAGTTTGTCAAGAGGGTAATTGGATATTGAAATTGATGAATTCTGTCCATGTCAGCCATCAAGGAAATTAAAAGCCTGGTGAAATGGGCTAGTTCATTTCCAAGACTGGTTAAATATAACCAAGAAGCAGCATCATTTGGCAAGGTGGAATTTATTTGGTTTCCCAATTGAGTTGCCACTTCATATATGTTGCTGTTTGGCCTGTAATGAGCAGGTGGAGAAATTGTTGCTCTTTTCTCTTGGACTTGAATTTCATCTATTTCATTCTTTCTTCTTCTCATTATGGGTAGCAGACTTAGATAGGAGGATTCTGGAGGAAATGGTTTGGAGGTTTCTTTTGCTCTGATTCTAAGATTAATTAATTCTTCAGTCAATTGACTTGCTTTGTCTTGCAAAAGATTGTATGCTAATTTAATAGTTGTAGGAGAACTTGAATTTGTTTTTAGCCTGTTCTTGATGACTGTTAGAATTTTTACATTCAAGTTGTTCATCAAGGTATGAATTTTTCCAATATCTATAGAAGTTTCTATTGTCCAAAAATTGATTGGGGTACAAATAGAAAACATGTCCTCCAGAGTGATCCCAACATTTGCAGGGAAAGTTCTGAGTGGGGAAACTTTGTCAAATCTTTGACTGTTGGAAATCATTCCCTTCTCTTTCTCTTCAATCTCTTGGATTTCAATTCCAGAGGAGATGTAAAAAATCAAGAAAATTACAAGTACTTTCCACATGATATTCATTGGGATCTTATTAAATTTGGGAAACAATAGACTTTTTTCCAATAGTGGGGGATTGAAAACAATGGCTCAGAAATTAATCTGGCGGGTTGTTCTCACTACTGGGTCAGTGTTGTCTGCTTCTAGTTCTTCCACTCACAGGAGATGATTTTGGAGTGGTTTCTTGCTGCTGATTTTGACGTCAAGTTCTGGCAGCAAGTATAGCGCTGGGTGTTAAACCCTGCAACGATCTTGACTTTGATTTTTTCTTTGCTGATGGTCCAGCAGCAGAATGACCTGTTCTAGGTGGCGATCTGGATCTTTGTCTCGCGCCTTCAGGTGTTCTTTCCTGCAAAGTAGGACGTTGATCTCTATGAAAATAAGGTCGAGATCTATTTTCCCTTGATTGTTCTAGCTTGGCAAGATTTTCTAGATCCTCTTCTTCTGGTATCTTGGGTTGAGACTTTCTTTTCTTTAGGGATCTTCTTTCCGCTGATTGTTTTGAGCTGAACGGGAATTCTGTCCTATCTTTTGAAGTATTAGGAGTACTGACAGCTCCAGGAGGAGTATGATGTTCGTTAATGGATTCAGAGAGAGAAGGAAGAGTCTCTGCTGATGCATTAAGATTTTTAGAAGGAACATCAGGATTCAGGAATTTTCCAAATTCGTTTGTCAGGTTTCTAACTCCTTGGGAAAGAGACTGTAAGAAGGAAGGTTGCTCAATGACAGTTTGCTGGGCAGGAAGAGTGTCATCAACTTCTTCTTCCTCTTCATGCATGGAATTGTCAGCTGAGACAAAGATGTCTTCAGAGCTTGAGAATGGAGTTGCATTAGTCATTGTTTTAGTTGGAATAGAAGGAGAAAAAGTTTGAAAATTTTCAGAATTTTTAGAGGACTGGGGAGAACAACCCCCTTCAAAAGAAGAATGAAAGTCCTCTTTCTGCTTTGCTTTTGGAGATGAAGATGGAGAGAAATCAAACGGTTTCTCTGAAGGATCTTTTGTGTGATTAGGGAGATCCTTGTTATCTTTGATACAGCCAACTTCTACGACAGTGCTTTTGGTCTGTTTTCAAAGGCTAGGGGCTGGTGGAATATACTCATTGTTGGAGACATCATTGACAGGATGCTTTTCAGGTGGCGGCATTTGTGACACGTATGGTTGGACGTAGCTGACGTGAATTACGTCAGTCCAAGTTGGATTTTTGTCGTCGCGGACTCTGACAACTACAGGATTGACGACGTCAATAACTGTATATGGGCCCTTATATTTTGGGCTCCATTTCCGAC